AAAAAGACCTCATAAACTGCACTTCACTTTTGTATTTGCAATTCTTCTCGTGCTGTGCTTGGTGATTGGAGCGAGGACGATGACGATGATGGTGATAATGATGATGATGTCATTTGGGCTGGCATACCGCTCTACCGTCAAACAATAAGCGACCATATACATAATCTCGCGCACATTTTTTTCACATTTCTTTTGTGTTTTTTTTTTCGTTCTTTCTTTTGAACTAGTCTTCGCCATGCGCTTTCTTTGCTCATTTAAACAGCTGAATAAAATTATGCAGTTACCAAAGTATCAAAGTTTCTCGCTCCCACTCTCGCCACACGAGTATTCCTCTTTTTTGTGTGCAGTTCGCCATTTACGCCTAGTACTTCTTGTGTCTGGCTTTTTATCCTGACCTGTCCATATGGGTGTGGTGCGTGCTACATGTTGCAAGCAAACTCAAAAGGCAAACGACGCACAGAAGCGAAGCGAACAACTTTCTTAACAACTTTTGCCGGCCGGCACCCAATTAAAACAAAAGGAAACAAAAAACAAAATCGAAAAATGAAAAACTCAAACCGGAACGTGTTATGACCAAACGAGAAAATATGCTGTATGTGAGATACTACTGGCTGCAGAAGCGAGCTCTTAAGACAGTGAGCCAGAGGAAGGCGCAGTTTGTTGCTTATTCAAAAATTAATAAATGGATGAATATCTAATGAAAAATCGATAATCGATAATTATTGAAAAACTGAACAGAGGTCGAAACTCGAGGCTCGATTTAGAAAGGAAGTCGCTGCTTTATGTACATACATATATGTATTAGGGATGTCAATTTTCGGGGTTTTGTCGATCCCGGGATTTTCGGGATCTGACATCCCTAATATGTATTCATTGTCGGGGAAATGGACTTAGTATACGCTTCGGAATATTCTATATATAAATCTAGTACTATCCATACTTTTCATAGGGCTCATCTAACAGCAGGCCCGACGCAAAGAAGAGTCAGGTGTGCTGCTTCTCCAGGCCTCAGTTTTCAGGGCCCGGATTTAAATTAAAATATTTTGCTGATTTGATAGTGATTAAAAAACTTTAGAAAAAAAAAAAATTTGAGGGAGGGAAGACCCAGCACATATTTAGTACCGTATCCGGATTTTCTCTTAGCTACCTTGCGTAATAGTATACCTCAAAAGAGCGTACTATTTGGTAAAAAGTTTTCGAACAAAAATATGTAAAAGTCAAAAGTTTGTTTGATAGATGATAAAACCATAGTAAGGTAAATTCGTTCTCTCAATTCGTCGGCCATGATTTTTTTTTTAAGTTTGCCAACATTTTAAAATCATATAAAATTGAGAGTATAAAAAAAGGAATTGTTCGAAGTTTTTGTTGTTTGGGATTGAAAATTAGAACGTATGTGTGAGTTTTAAAATTAAATTTCTTGCAAACGTCAAGAATTTGAAAAATTCCTCTCGGCGGTTCCACCTTCCTATTTTTTTGTCATGGTTTGATATGTTTTTTACAGAAAATAATCATTAATTTTTAACCGACTTCACAAAAAGGAGAAGGTTATCAATTCGTCGGAAAATTTTCTTTTTTATGTATAACTTTGGACCACGTTAACGGATTTCTATAATTATTTTTTTAAAGTAAAGGTGTTACCTCACAGGTGGTCCCATACTAATTTGGTTTAAATGCGATCATTGGATCATAAAGAAATTAACGATAATCTTAAATTTTTATATGAGAATTGGTCTTTTCTTTTTAATTACTTGTTCGTTTTTATATTTGTAGGCATTAACAAAAAATCAAGTTGTATGTACAACGGTGGCCGCATAATTAGGGACAATACTTCCTTTTTTGGTATATACTTTGTATGAAATAAAATGCGTAAACAATTCTTCAAAAATCAATGCGAATTCTTAACCGCATGAAACTTACACAATGTTGTAATAAAATCGAATTGGTTACAAAATTGCTTACTGGAATTTTTGCTAAAAATCTTGATTAAAAAGTTTAAAATTTTGATGACCGTTCTTTTTTTTAAATTTGGCGAATAACTATAAATCTCGTACAAGGTTTACAACTTTTAGGTACATAAGAAAAAATTATGATCAAAACTTGTAAAGAAGTAATGTCGCGATTATGTGGCCTCCACTGTATATCGAAAACTTAATCATAAAATATCCCGATATCCCGAAAATTCTTGAAAAATTTCAGTTAGAGCCCAAAAGTATCCTCAATGTTCCAGAAAAATAGCGAAAAATCCCGAAAATTTAAATACGAAATACAATCTCAAATTCAGATTAAAAAAAAAATTCAACAACTCCAGAACAAATCCCTCCAGAAAAAATCATTAAAACTAGAAGGCGAAAAAATCAGAAAAAGTTCAATAAAAAAACACCAGAAAAGCTCCGACAAATCTTAAAAAAAAAAATAGACACCCTTTCTCGAAAAGATCCGAAAAAAAATCAGAAGGGTGCCGAAAAAATCTTGAGAGCCCTCCTTCGCTTTTAAAAGCTTTAAGCTGTAGACCAATTCTGGCTAAGATAGTTGCAAGTCTTTTGTAAGGCAATTGAAAGACAGTTTAAAAGATTTTTTTCATTCTGGCATGGAAGTGTTCCAGAAAAAAATCCCTCACAAACTTTCATAATCAAAAACTTTTTTGACGTAAATCACTTGAGCACGTTCCAAATGGAGATGTACATACTTACATATGGGGCGATTCACGTGAAATGTGCCAAGCGCGCTGAGCGTTGCAAAACAAGCTATTTTACAACAAGCTGGGAAGCAAACAGAAAATGTTGAAAAATAAATCGAAAACTATGATTTTTAAAATTTTTATACGGGCTATCCGAATGCTGCTATTCTCATGGTGAAAATTTGAAACGAAAACTTATTTGTTATTTTTCTCAATTATGGTAATTTTCAATTTTGTTTTTAGTCATCTCAATCGAAAGGTTGACGTGCATCGCCCCATATGTATATATAGCATTTAGCTCGCGGTGTTCTAATATGTTTCTCTAAGGTAGAACGTTAGAATACGCTTAGAGAAACTGTTGAGAATTATAGCATTCTTTACGGAAAGGGGCCTTAGTTCTCGTTATCGAGAAAAAGCTTAAATATCGAATCGTATTGTAACGTTGAATACTATTTTTTTTCTATGCTAATGTCTAGTGCTTTTCTTAGCATTCCCTAATCGAATTCAAACATACTTCTCTTACCTAATTTTCGATTCGAGAACTACATTAGAGTTCTAATGTGAAGTTAAAACTTTTTTTGTAACGTTAGAGACTGTGTTTGCTCGGATCCGAGATTATAATCCACGGGAAGTGATTTTTTTTATTTATTTCTTTTTTATATTTTAGCTTCTATTAATTTTTAGATTTTTTATTCTTGAAAATATATATATATATTTTTTTACTTCAGTTAACTTTAAGAAACTTATATTACGCCTTTTACTTTCTTTTTTACTTCAATTTTTTAATCTAATTTTTGGATTTTATTGTTTTAAAAAGAAAACTATCTGTTAATTTTATCTAATTTTTAAAATTATTTTATTTTTATACTATTATTATTTATTTAAAAATTTATTTTATTTTTATACATTTATTTTATTAAAATTAATTCTCTTTGAATTCTTAGCAGGTTTTATGGCCAAATTTTTAAATCTCAATTATTTTTTTTGGGAATTTATTTAATTCTTTTTCTTGTTTTTAATAAATATAAATTAAATAAAATTTTCTGACTTTCAGGTTTTATGGTTTTAAAAAGAAAAATATTTTTTTTTCATTTCCACAAACTTATCTCTTCTTTTTAATTTTTTTTTATATATTTTATTTCATATTTTGCAAATTTTTAGTAACTTTCATACATTTTTCTCCTTTTTTCGTTTCATTTATTTTTTTAATTTAACTATCTTCTAGGTTTTAACAGACTTCAAAAAAGGAGGAGATTATTAATTCACCGGAAAATTTATTTATCTTTTTTTTTTTTTTTTGTTTTATGTTATGTTTTACCGGATAACTTTGGACCTAAATTTGTATATTCGGTAAATTTTTTGTTTGAAAATTACTTGTTGCTAAATAACAACTAGCTAGATTTTATTGTTTTAAAACGAAAAAAAATATTCATTTCATTTAAATTTTAGTTTAGTTTATTTCTATTTTCATGATTTTTTTAATTTAATCTGCTTTTAATTTTTATATTTTATTGTTTTAGAAAGAAATTTTTATTTTCCATTCCATTTAATTTTTAGCATCCTATTATTTTTTTCTTTTTTTTAAATTTAATTTTCTTTTATTTTTAAATTATATTATTTAAAAAAATATTTATTATTGACTCGGTTTAGCTCTCCGATAATATATTTATTTTAAATGTCATTTAATTTTTAGAAACTTTTGTTTTTTTTTTATTTAGTTTTTGTCTTTTTAATTTAATTTTCTTTTTATTTGTATGTTTTTACTGTTTTAGAAGGAAACATTTTTTTATTTAAATTAAATTTTAGAAAACTTATTGCTAAAAGACAAACATAACAACGCTTAGGCCTCGTTCGAAGCAAATCTTTCAATTAACCCTGACAAAAACGAGCTTTCAAGATAGTTGTCAGAATTGACAACTGTGGTGAGTTTAAAGACAGTTGCCAGAATTGGAAATTGTGGTGAGTTGTAAGACAATTGCCAAAAGTTTGCTTTTATTGTCCAGACTGGACAAGGGCCTGAAGTCACTGAACTTTCAGAAAGTCAGCGAAACGAAGGAGAGTGGGTACTTTCAGATAGTCACTACTGGAAGCCCAAGGACTAAGCGACTTAGAATTGTTATTGAACTAGGGAAACTTATCTGGATATTAGTGATTAACACATTCTTGACGATCACTATTAAGGCTTAGTAAAACTTTTTTGAAAACTGTTCTCGATTTTGTCCAAGGAATGCTTGGAAATCAGAGGATTCCTAATTTTTAGCCACATCTTAACTTTGATAAATACAGTTTAATAAATCACGGAAATCATATTCTTCAAACTCACCTGCACATTGCCAATGGCGTGTGTCAACTTCTGTATGTTGAAGTGAAGACCGGCCAAATTCTGCACTGGTTCATCGCTGAATTTACTGCGTTCAATGGTGGCCTTAACGCGTTCCACCGATTGTTGATATTCACGCCAACGCTCGACCTCCTTCTCCAATTCGCCTTGCTGTGATTTCGCCAACGCAAAAGTGTTTGCTAATTTCGTTTGATATTGTGCCAATTCGCGTGACAATTCCGACTGTTCGAAATTGCTCAGAGACGGCCAGATTTTATCGGCTGCTTCTTGAATTTGTTTATGCACCAAATTTTTGATTGGGGTCTCATTGCCGAAGAAGAGTTTGTGCTCCTCCAAGTCTTGTACGAGATTTTCATAATCGATGCCATGTTGACTATTCTGAAGACGTGTCTCAGCTTCGTGCACCCAGTCGTTGAACTTCGCAACCAATTTCATGTATTCAAGACGTGAATCGCGATTATTGATCAAGTACTTTTCGCGATCTTCAAGCTCTTGTGGCAGTGAGGAGACCAACGAACGACCTTCGGAAAGCATTTCCACCAATGAGCCGGGCATGCCCACCTCGGTTTTGACGCTGTCATTGATTTTGTTGAATTTATCGAGATATGACTGAATTTCATTGCGCAGCTTATGATGTTTTTGGATTTCATGTTCCACCGACTCGGGGTCGCGATCCAACAGCGGACGTGACTTGGCAGACGCCTCATTATTGTGCAACCAATCGAGTATTTCCGAGAGTTCGGCAGCCATTTTGCGATGGTGTTCCAGCTGCACTTGATGCTTCTGCCGCTGTGACTCGACAGCCTTGCGCAGATTCTGCAATTGATTCTTCAGCGACTGCAGCTGTTCAGTAATGCTATTCTTATCGGCAGCTGAGCCCTCGGAGGCAATTTTCTGTCCCTTATCGCTAGCGGAAGCGAGTAGACCCTCACATTCCTGGATCTTGACGATGACATCATCGTACTTGTTGATTTTGTCCTCCAAGCTGTCGGGCGAATTCTCTATGTCGATTATAACATCTGTGTACTTCATAATGAAGGCGATAATCTCATTGATCAGCGCTATGAACTGCTCACGCAGTAGCAGCAGTTGACGCAGGTGCGCCAATTGATCTTCAATCAATTTGATCATATCGTCCTGTTGCTGCAATATGCTCTGCAACTCTGGCAAGTCATCCATTTGTATGTCGCCCATCTTGCTCTTGCTATCCTTCAGCTCCTTGAGTATACCCTCATAGGCGCCGAGCAAATCTTGAACGTCTTCGATCTTTGCACCGATTGGTTTATTCAACTCGCGCAAGCGTTGCTGTATGGCATTGAGGAATTGCATGCAATCAGCCAATTTGGCCTTGGCATCCTTGTATTTCTTGATATGATCCGCAAGCGTGCTGACACGATCCTTAATATGCTGTGTTACTTTGCCATAACGATCTTTCAAGTTCTTGATGTCGTCATTCAGCTTCAGTTTGTCAGGATTGCTGAGCGTGGGCAATATGGCCTTGCCCTGATCGGCAACATTATTCAACAAGCCAGCCTTGCCCTCAGCAGCATCCAGCAATTTCTTGTAGTGCGCCATTTGCTCTTCCAAGACTGGCACACTGGTGGTGCGTAACTCACCAGCTGTTGCCGTTTCAATTTCACTCAACCAATCGCCCATGTTCTTCATGGCGTCCTCGAAGGACTTGCGTCCTTGCAGCAGATCACTCAAAGCGTTGGCACGCTTACCACTCTCATCTTTCAGCGTTTGATAGTCGGCGGCGATTTCGTCGAGTATTTTCTGCAAAGCTACTCTATCCGCCTCCGGGCAGTCCTTCATTATATTTGCCGCTTGCCGCTGTACATCACTCAACACGGAATCGTTGAATTGTTTGGCTTCATCGTCGTACTTCTTGTTCTCTTGTATTTGCTTTTCGATTTCAGCCGCTGGCAGTGGATGGTACACCGGCAATTTACGCACTTCGGCAATCTTCGACTTCAGCCAAGCGCGCGCCTTCTCCAAATCAACCTCGAGCGCCTTGCGTGCCTTGGACGCATCCAATGCGCGTTCCAACTCGCTCTTCAACACCTCGGAGAGATTCTTTTGCTCGGAGTTCAACTGTCGCAAGGCAGACTCAAGTTGCGCGTATTCGACAGGTTCCAGTTCGGGTTTCATATTGGCAATGCGTTTCTCCAAAGCATCAGCCTGCGATTTCTTCGCCTCAGCTTCCTTCATAATGCCCTTGATTGCCTGTTGGCGCGATTCTGCAGCTTTGGGTTCATAACCCATGGCCGTGGGTGTTTGTAGCTCTTGTATCTTGTCTTTGACCCAGTTGTGTAGCTGTTCGATTTCGCTTTTAGCGCCATCAACGCCCTTATTGGTGACATCCAGCAGTTGTGCCTTGCGATCGATGCGTTTGCCAAGATCAGCATAACGACGATCCAATGATTTCATTTGCTCTTCCACCTGTTGGCCATCCAAATTGCTAATCGCTTCAGCTACCTGCGCTGCCTTGCCCTTCAACTCTTGTATTTTGTTGGGACCTTGATCTTCGAATTCCTTCTTGATTTCGTTGATGGCAGCCACCTTTTGGCCACAATTCAAACCAGAACCCTTGTCCAGCACATCCATACGCTTGATGAGCGAGTCAAACCAGTTCTGTACATCTTGCACACCTTGACGGTAACTATCGATATCGTTTTGGCCAGCTTGTTTCTTGGCGATAGCATCCATCAGCTCGGACTCGAGCTTGTCGAGGTTATCGTCGAGATCGGTGTCTTCTTCGGCCACTACAAATAAAGAGGAAAACAAAATGGGTAGGTTTAGAAGTTGAGTCGAAGTAAAGGATAATTGGAAATTTATTTGAGCTCAGAGCTTCTCTCTCTCTCTTTGAGGTATAAAGTTTGAAGTAGAGAAGAACTCTTAGGAGTTGTTGTCAAATCAACTTTCGTGCGCCGAACCTACAAAATGTTCTTTATGTGTAAATATCCGAACTCTCGGTATGGGTAAAATTTGCCAGAAAAAAATTATAGGAATAGTTCGGTATCAGTTTAGGAATAGTTCACGATAGGTATAAATCCATTTAGGGACTAGTTTTGGACCATTTCCAGAGTATTTCAGGACTATTTCAGGAACAGCTCCGGACTAGTTCAAGTTATTTTGCGAACATTTTGGAACTAGTTCGGGATCATTTTGGTACGACTTCGGGACCGTTATTTGTTCAAAATTATTTCGGCACATATTCACGGCTTTTTCGACCATTACGGGGCATGTTCAGGACTATTTCAGAACCATTTCGGGACCACTTCAGGACTATTTCAGAAGAGTTTCGGGACTAGCTGGGAATCATTTTGGGCTATTAACGGACTATATCGGGACCGTCATTTCGAAACAAGTTCACCATTTTTTCGACCATTTCGGGGCCAATTCCAGGGCTATTTCAGATCCATTTCCGGCTAGTCCGAGACCATTTGAGCCTAGTTCTGGACCATTTCGGGTCTAGCTCAGAACCATTTCGTGACTAGTTCAAAACTATTTCGGGTCTGGTGCTAGACTATTTCAGGACCGTTTCGGGGCTAGTTCAGGGATTTTCCTGAAATACTTCGGGACTACCATGGGATTATGTTTCAGGACAATTTCGAGACTAGTTTGGGATCATTTCCTGAAATGGTTGTTAAGAAAGAGTCGTGCAAATTGTAATGGTTCTTAAGAGGGACGTAGAGTACAACTTTTAGTTCAAATGAAATTGGAACGGCCTTACTCGCACCGTGCGAAACCAAAAGAGGTTTTATACAAGGGAGCTCACTTTAGTGTGACATCTTCAATAAGATCCCACAAAACGTAATATGAGCTACCAATACGAATCACCGCGGCACCATACAAAGTACTTACTGGCATCACACAAAGAGTCTTCTCACTGTTGACAGTTATAATTTTGAAATAGTGAAGAACATCGTTTTCCTAGAATCCAGCATTAACACCACCAATAATGTCAGCCAGATGATCCAGCAAAGAATACATTTTGCCAATAGGCATTGCAAGGGGTTGGTAGGCAGTTTAAAGGAAAGAAGAGGCCTCAATTGACAAAATATGGCGCAGAAACTTAGATAGTATCGATCAAAGATGATACTCTCGGCACAACTGTTCTAGGAAAGACTGGTGACGAACTGAACGAGCCTATTGACATAATAAAAATTCAACGATTTCGCTTTTAATGAATTTATTAGTCTTGTCCAAAGCCGAAAGATGACTGTGTGGCCAAATAAGTAGGAGATTTTCTTGTGGGTAAAAGCGAGAAAAGGATTGATTCTCAAGAAGATAATATTATAAAATTTATCAAATACTTACATGATCCAGTCATTTCCAACATCAGCTGTGAACGCTTGTCTCCAATGGAGTTCAACAAATCATTCATGGCAACCAATTCCTGCTTGGCTGCTTCGGGACGCAACTTGCATGGTCGTGTTAGCCAATCGCTAACCGTTGATTGCTGCCTCTTAACCCAATCTTGAAGCTCAGCGCGCTGTTTCTGTTGTTGCTCTAACTCACTCACTGAAGCGGTCAATCCACCCAAGTGGGATTGTACCTAATTAGGTAAAGAAACCAAAAATTTATGCATTTTAGTTCACTAAAAAAAAGGGGCAAGAAATGTAAAATATAGTGAATATGCGAAGTACCCAAAGACCCAAAAAACCTTGAACAGCGAATGGGAAATTTTGCCCAAAGACCTTAAAAATACTACTTTATGTTTATATGTATGTACATAGATAAGTAAATATGTTTGTATGTATATGTGAGCAGTTATATAAAGATATACAAGCAAATCTCACGAGTTTTTTTTTTTTAGTGTCACTCGCTTCTCTCGCCAGAAAAAAACGCTAAAGCAATATTCCTGCATTTATTTCAATCAATGGTGTTCCAGCAACAAGTATATACAATAAAAAATAAATCAAGTAAAACGTTTATTAGGCGAAATTAGATACTAATTTTTTCATTGTCTTTCGAAAAAATTTTAAATGCTTTTTTTTTAATAACTTTGGGAAGTTTTCAAATAGAATGTTCACATTAGACGCAATGGACGCTGGCATCAAGTACAACATATCTGTGAAGTTTCAGGAGTGTGCCACCAAATTTAAAAAAAAACTGACAGCACGCAGAATTTCTGTCGCAGCTCTTTTGTAATCTTTGAGCTTTTACGTTTCCTTTTTTAGTTTTAATTAAATTTAAGATACTTCAAAGCAAAAGATAACTGAAACTCCATTTTTTTTTTTATTTTTCATTTTTATTGGCACACTCGAAATTCATGCCAGAATTGTTATGTACATGAAAAAAGAAAAATTTAACCATTCTTGAGATTTGCTCATATATACATATGTATGCACAAATGTATGTATGTATGTATTTACATCGGGTTTGCGAATACGATAGCAATTTACAGTTTCTTTAACTCGCCCAAATTTTTCGAAGCAGGAAAATTAGTACAAAACTAAAGCATTAAGGAAAGCATTACAATTTCAGCAGCGTTTGGAATAGGCCCAAAATTTCGCTAGTCGCGAGGCCGCAAACTTACCTTAGTGATTAATGTATTAAGCTTGATTACACGCTCGCTATTAGAGCGTGATAATTTTCTATTTAAACGCTCTTGAGCAGCTGGATCATGCGGAGCGTTATTAGTCTCTTGTAGTTCAACATCGCTAACAGCCTTAGCGGTGATGTTGCTTGAGTGCAATACTTCTTGGTTGCTCGGCATCTTTTTCCGAGTGGGTTTGTTGTTTTGGGTTGAGAGTTGTTGGTTTTTTTTTTTTATATGGCAAGGGATTTTCGTGGGTGGTTAAATGAACAGAGAGGATTTTTTGTTGGCAAATAGCAGTGCGCATTGTAGTAGTGTAAGTGCAGCGGATTACAGTTAAACAGGAAATTATTACAAAAACAAATAAGGTTACATGTTATAATTATAATAAAAATAAAATATTAATATAAAAAACTAATTCACATTTGAGGAAAAGTGTTTTAACAAATTGTATATAGCTCATAATTGTTATACTAGTTACTAGTTTGCTACATCAAATACTACACTTTCTCTAGTACACATACGCTCTATATAGAAAGCGTTAACATTTTCTTCTTTCTTTTTCGTGAAAAAGTTTCCCCAGCTTCACTGACTCAGAACTTACCTGATCCAGCAAATCTTCCAGTTTTGCGCGCACAATAAGCTCACGTTCGGGTATGGCTTGCATGGCAGTCTCCAGCGGTGAGCTGGGGCGACTGATGGAAGCAGTGGCTGCTTCGCAGGCTTGTACAGCAGCTGCAAGACGCGACTTTTCGTTGTTCAGCTTGTTTTGTAGGTCCTAAGTCGGGGAATAGAAATGGGTAGAGAATCCAATGATTAATATAAATCTTTATTTTTTGCATTATACTTAACTAGTATTTATTTATAACTATTTCTTTGGTTGAATTTAACCGATATTTTATATGTTATTTTTTTCTATAAACATACTCTGTGTTTTTTTTAATTTTTCATATAATATAGGAGTTGCCGTTGATTATTGGCAATTTTTGTCACGCAGTCACTGCCATACAAAAAAAAAATTTCGAAAATACTTTATATGGAAAAATGCAAAACACGTTCAACAAAAAAAAAATCTCAAAAATCATCAGATTCACATAGCTACAGCAATTTGCCTTAGGAGCTTCGCTGTGTATCTTCTGGTTGGACTAAAGAAAGGCTGAGAGCCGATCAGGTCAAGTGCTCTATGGCTGACTATCCGAAATGATATTTATTGTTGCCCCATTAGTCTTTTTGCGAATACATTCGTGGGCACAGACTTTAATTGCAAAAATTTCTGCTTGGAATATGGTTGGGTGTATGCCCATCGGGACGTTTTTCAGAAATTCGCCGGTCCCAGTGTTCCCACCGTCAAAATTGGAACCATCAATGTACCAAGCTGAGTCCCCCCGCTGAACATGGCAATTATCGTTTTATCCCTTTCAGGTATTACCTTATAGGGCTTTATTAAGGTCAGCTTAGGTAGCATTGAGTCTGTGAGTTTTGCTACGGAATCATTTATGAATGGTTTTATGAACCCAAGTGGCGCTTTAAGTCCCCACTTTTCAAGCTACTTATATAGGTTTGGCAGTCTCAGGGCGCTCCAGCAAGCCGATTTCTTGATGTGTAGTAAAAAATCTGGTTAATTGTGGATTTTTCAGGCCTAAATCTACACATATGAGGATCAATTAGGTGTTTCATGAAGGGTTTCAGTCTATCGCACAGTATATTTAGTCGATAGGACCTTAAATACATTATTTATAAGGTCTTCCATCTACCACAATGAGGTCAATGTTGTCTTTAGCTCTTTGATGAGGGGACACTTAAGTGGCTTTTTAGATGTTTCAATGCTGGTGCTTAGTACTACTAACTACTAAGTGTGTACCATGCCGCGGTGAAGTCGATCCGCGTCTCTTCTTCGTCGGAGGTGTTGTCAATAAAGCTGAACTTTGGAACCAGATACTTAAGTCTTCTTTGCTCCCCAGTATTTAAAGTCGACAAGCACAATCTCAGCATCATATGAGGGTTATGCCCCGTCAAATTATCCACAGAATTGCTCAATGGCCTCAGCATCGCTTGTCCAGTTGAGCGTGTCCACAAGTTATTGTCATTAGAAGAATCGAATGGCATATTTGTGCTCATATTCGTTATTTTATCGAAAAATTTATTAAAAAATAGCTATTTGGCAGTATCTGCACTTTTATCATTTTGGTTATCGATATTACTATCATCAGCTTTCTTTTTAATTCCTGTTCGTTGTAACTGTGGTTTTCCAGTATCACTGGTGTTTACAATTTTTAAAGACTTTGCGGGCATACCCATCCCAATATTTTCCACTAAAGTTAAATTTCACCTTATCCAAACCTAAGCTGTTCCTTAACTTACTTTTAAAGTCCTGTTCAATTTTTCTTTAAAATCTAAAATACTTATACAATATTTATAATTTCCCCCCATCGTCTAACCTCCCTCCCACTCACCTGAGCACACTTCAATTGTTGTTGCGCAATTTCCAAGCTGGTTGCCGGCGCATCAAGCTCATTCTGTATAACCGGTTCATAGGCCTCCAGATTGCGCATAATGCTGTCCAATGTATCCTCATACTCCTTGAACTTGGCCAACGATTCGTGCAAGCGATTCTTGATTTGTACAGAAGTTTGCAACAATGAATTGTAGCTTTCCTGAATATTCTTCAATTGTTCTTCGACCGTATCGCGTATGGCTGGGGTCGTTGGGGCGTAACGTTTAATTTGCGCCTGTCCCTTCGCATTCAAATCATCCAAGTTGGCTTGGTATTTTTGTATTTCATCTAACAAAGCTTCATGTTGCTTGATTTGTTCCTCGGTCTGTTCACGATTCGAAATGAAGAGCGAATTGTGTGCCATCAACTGGAAGGAAATTTGCAGCAACCATTTTTCAATGTCCTGCAAGCTCTGATGATAGGCATTATAGTCGGCCATTTCGTTCTCCAGACCCTTAATGTAGGCAGCGCAATCGTTCTTCACCTTCTCCCAGCGCGCCTGTTTTTGATGCACAGCGTCCACTTCAGTGCCCAAACCTTTAGCTTCGCCCAACAGATTTTCAATTTCGCCACCTTTCTGCTTAATTTCATTCTGCAGCGTTTTGTAGCGTTCGAGCAGCGTCTTCATTTCGCTCAATTCACCCTTAGTATCGGGTGCGGTTTTGAGTGTCTTTTCTGTATCAGTTAGCCACTTCTCGAGCTTATCGCGATTGTTGGCGAAGTCTGACCAGCGATTTTGTGCTTGTTTCAGGTCGGTCAACTTCTGCTTGACAGCCAGGCCCAAAGCATCCCAGTCCTCACGCACTTTGGTCATTAGGTCGCGCAAAATCTCTTGCTTGCCTTCGGGTGTCACATTCGAAGCTTTCGTGTAGGCATCTTGTACCATGCCGAGAAGGTGTTGGCCTTCGGGAAGCCGAGATGCAAGCGACTGTGGAGAAAAAAGAAAAGATAAGAAATAAATAATTTGATTGAAGAAAGCATTTGTAAATATATATGTAAGTATAATTATTAAGCTAGAAAGGAAGGAAATAAGCTTCCGCGTAACTCCAGTCGTAGATTAGCACAAGAGGCTTGAAATGACTTAGACGATTTTAAAAATTATTGGCTCTATTAGCATTTGGCCGCGTATAAAATCTTCTCAATCAATTGCGAAACAGCACAATTCTGGCTAAGATAGTTGAAAGTCTTTTGTAAGACAATTGAAAGACGGTAGCCACTTTTTGAAGGATCTTGTTTATTCTGGCCCGAAAGTCCTCCAAAGAAGCTCGCTTGCCAACTTTCATGGTGAAAAGCTCTTTGACAGAAAGCTCACGCCGCTGCAACACGCGCAAAGGCCGAGTGCGCAAAGCACTGACGTGTCATTCGAGAGATACGAGGCTCAAGTCGTCGGGCAGCGGAATTTTTTTTATAATTACTTTTTTAATGTAATTTTAATGTTTTGTTTACTTCATGTATTTCTTAAATTTAACTTTTTACCTTTTTTATTTAATTTTTTTTTCTTTTTTAATTTAGCTTTTAGTTGTAAAGTTTTATTGTTTCAAAAATAAAAATGTTTTTCTAATATTTAATTTTTAGAAACTCTTCTATTTTTTCTTATTAAGTTTTCCGTTAAGTTTAAGATTTTATTGTTTTAAAATTTTTTTAACTCGTCTAATTTTTTTGAACTTATTTAATTTGTTTCTTTTTAAAAAATTTATTTATTTTGTCTTTTTTTAATTAATGTTTAAGTATATTCCAAATGAAGATTAGAAGAAGAAATTATTTTTCTGGCGCTGCTCCAGCTGTAGCAATGGAAGAGTGAGCAGAACAGTGGCGTGCCGAAGCTCAAATCCCCAGGCAGCGGATTTTTTTTAATAAATAATTTATTTATGTTTTTTTGTTTAATGTAATTTTTTCTAATATTTAGATTGTTTTTTTTTTTTAGAAAAATATATTTTTAGTAACTTGTTTCATTTTCTATTTTTTCGTTTTTTAATTTAATTGTTAGATTTAATTTTATTGTTTTAATAAGACAAATAATTTTTTATTTTAATTTTATTTTAAAAAATTTTTTTGTTTCATTTTTAATGACATTTTTTTCTTTTTTATTTAAATTTTTGATATTGTTGTATTAAAAAAATAGCATATTTTTATTTCACTCAATAATTTTTTATAAATTTCCTTATTTCTTTTAAATGCTTAAAATGCTTAAAATATTGAGTAGTTTAATCATTTTACTTACATTGACAGTCTCCAATTGTTGGGCTATTTCGCTAACATCACCATCTGCAGTGCAGCCATCCAATATCTGTTGGGCTTTCTCAATCCAGGCGTCCATTTCCTTCTTGTAGTTCAGGAATTCGGTGTGATCAGATAGATTCTTTTCAATCTTGGAAACAAGGCCTAGAAAACAATGAAGCATTTATAAACAAAAAAGTCTAATAAAATCCAGCAAACCACCAACCTTGTGCTGATGTCAGCAATTTGGTGTAGTTGGCCTGTGTTTCGACAGTCTGATCGCGAACGCGCGTGCAGGCGCTTTGTTCCATAAGCAATTCACAAGCGTCATTCAAGTCCTCCACATTGTCTTTTTCCGCCAAAACTTCTTCCAACAAATTCTGCGCGTAGAACGTAAGGGGGAAAAAGGGGTTTTAAAATTTGTTTTGGAAAAAATGGTAAGCAGTAGTACAAGTTTTAATCATTTTACAACAAAAATAATATTTTAAAAGATTTTTAGTATTGATGAAAAAAAAAATGTGTCATCTAAAAAGCATAGTGTTTTGTACACTGTGTTTTGTAGGTGAGACGCAGCACTTACTAGGATTACCTACGGCTACTTATGTGTGAATATCCAATGACTGAATAAGCTTAGTTGATTAGTTAGTTAGGTATGTGTGTGTTTAGTAAAAGCACAGCGGGGGGGTATTTGTTTGGTTAGTAGGTAGTGAAGATAATGAATGAACTTACCTTGGCATATGCCAAGTCGTCGGGTGTTTTATTCTCAGCTTCGGCGGCGGCAGCCACGCGCTTGCTAATATCATCAATCCATTTGTTGATTTTATTGAAATTCTGCAAGAACGTATTCCACTGTGAAAGGCAACTCTCCAAATTGGCGCGCGCATCACGCAACATCGCTTGCAGCGCTTCCCATTCGGCGACAAGTTGTTTAACTTCCTGCGACACCGCATCTTGTCCCTCACTACCGCTGGTCGCAATAACAGCTTGACTCAGCTCATCGCAGGCATCGAGCATTGATTTGCCTTCCACCATTGAAGCGCCAATATCACCCAACTTATTGAGGCGATCTTCAACTTGCACCTTCTCGCCATGGCAATCGGCGCACTGTTCGATTTCGATACGTGTGCGGCGTAGCCAATCTTGTATTTCATTGAATGCCTGCTTGTATTTGTCGTGATTGTTCACCTGGTTCTCGAGTGATTCGATAATCTTGCCAACAGTCTCCTGCAAGTTTTCGTATTTATTGAGACCTTCACGGAAATCGTTCGGGTCCAGACTGTTGTCTTCATTCAAGCGCGCATTGATCTTCTCGACAATGTCGTTATGGCCGTTGATGTCCCGTTGTATGGCGCGGAATTTCTCCAGCGCGGCGCGTTTTTCGCTTAAATCATTCAAGAAGTCATCGCTCGCCTTGACGCTGGGCTCTATGTCCTCCAGCCATTCGGTGAGCAGCTTATGCAATTTGTAAACCTCTTCTAATTGCGCTAGGCGATTCGCCAATTTTTGGCGCACATCGTTCATGTCAATCAGCAATTGGTCGAAGTCTTGCTTCAAAGCGTCGGTGTCTTCTTGCACCTTGGTGGCGCCACTCTGTTCGGTATTCATAATCACCTTCTCTTTGAGCTCCAGCAAATAGCGTAGCTTATTCTGCCCAGACTCAAAACCTTGACGCAAGTTCTTAACAGTGCTCAGCTTGATTTGCACCTCATTCAAAGTGCCCGGTATCTGTGCGCAATCGGCGAGCTTTTCGCGTGTGCTCTCAATCCACGACTGGCATTCCTCGTACAGGGTGCGGTGCTGTTGGTGCTCTTGGTAGTGCAACTCCAGCCGACGCATAACTTCCTTGGCCAGCGTTAGCAGCGTGTTGTACTTGGTTGTCAACTGCATGATGGCGTTGCTGACACGCGTGTCGGAGCAGGTTTCCAGCAGCATCTGCGCTTTCATATTCAAATGATCAAGTGTTTTCTGCCAATCGAACAGTGTCTGCAAGTGACCTTGGAACTCTTCCAGTACCACCTTTTTGCGCGCCAAGCTATCCTGCAATTTGTTGTATGACTGCACCAATGCTTCTGTCTTCGTGAGCCATTCCAGCGCTTCGGTATATTGATCTTGGTAATCTGACCACTTGACAATGCCAACCTCCAAGTAGTCCTTGGCCTTCTTCAACGCCTCTACGTAGGCGTCGAACTCCTCTTGCAACAGCGCCACTTCCTCTTCAATGATCTCACGATCCTCGGGCTCGGCATTGTGGCAAGCGATTTCGCCTTGCGTCAGCACCGCTTCCAGCTTCTTTTGCCCCTCAGGCACCTCACTTTGCAATATCTTCAGCTGATGTGTCTTCTCGGCCAGCGCTTGCTTATCGCCTGTGGGCTCGGAACACTTGCTGAGGCGCTCTTTGGCACTGCGCAGCCAAGCAGCGAACTCGTTGCCTGCATCAATGAGCGATTGGTATTGGTCGATTGTATTCTTTTGCTTCTCATACAAGTCCTTGGCCTGCTTTGTGAGAGTCTCATACTTGTACGATATCTCGGAGGCTGGCGCTCCCTGTTGTAGGTCGGACGCCTTCGAGGCAACCGATTGTATCATCGGTTCAAAGGAGACTATATCCTGCACAATATTGTTGGTCTGACGCAAATTAGCTTTACGCTCGCTCAAGCCCGATGTTAAACCAGGTTGGCCGCGCTTCGATTTTACAATCTTCTGCTCGCATGCCTGTTGCAACTTGGACTCGCGATCGCTAATCCATTGTTGCAATTGTGAGTAGCTCGAGCTATAGTCGGCCCATTGTAACAGGTTTGTCTCCAACTGCACCTTAGCAGTGGACATTTTCTTCACCAGCCTGTCCCAGTCATTCTGCAGCTCCTTCATTTCATTGTTGATGGCATCACGTCCATCGGAGCGCGTGTTTCTTACCACCTTCTCACCGTTGTTGATCGTTGTGTGTACCAAGTTCTGTCCCACTTCACGATTACTAATCAGCTGTTGAATCTTCTCCAAGCGCTTTTGCAGCAGCTCTTTCGAGCCAGCGCTAGAAGAGTCACTAGCCTCGCGTATGGTTTCCTTCGCTGAATCAATCCAATCCTGCGCTGCCTTCAAGTTAGCGTTGTATTCACGATGTTGATCACGGTTAGTTTCAACCTTCTTTAGCACATCCTTAGCAAGATTTACTTGCACCTGGTACATTGAGTTCAAATGGCGCAGTTGGTTCGTCACATAAGACTCCAAGTGAGATTTTAGTAGGCCCGCGGAGGAGGCATTGAATTTATCGATATCATCTTTGCCCTTTTCCAGGCGCGACATAACATCTTGCATATCCGCCACCTGTTTCTCTTTTTCCGGATAGCTGGGTGACAAGTTTAGTTTGTGATTCTTGACCAATATATCAATTTGTTGCAGCCATTCGATTAGGCGCTCGTATTCGTCTTTGTAAGCACGCCACTGCGTCATAGTCACCTCCAAGCTCTCCTTCTGCTGGTTGATCTCACGGAAGAGCGACTCGAAGCTGTCGCGAAGAGCGCGTATATCGTTGCGTATGATCTCTTGACCCTGCGGCGACGTGCTGGTTAGCACAACCTCGCCAGTGTGCACCAAATGTTCCACTAATAATTCACCCTGCGCCTGCTTATTCAGCATAGCTTCAGTGGCCTGCACTAAATTTTCAATAGCCAGCTTGTCGCTGAGGCTGCTCTGCTTAAGGGAGGGGAATTTCTCGCGCGCGCGACTTATCCAACTTACCAGATCGTCATAGGCTTCCTTGTAGAGCCTGTGATCTCTGTACTGATCATGGCGATCGGAGAGCAGCTTCTGTATGCGCGCACAGAGTTCATCGAAAGTGTCGAGCACCTTTTGTGCTTGGTAGGCGGCCTGACTTTGTTGGCCGCTAGCAATCATTTCTCTTGCCTGCACTTTCAATGCATCCACATCAATCTTCTCCATGCGCACCTTCTCTTCGGTGGCCTTCACGCGATCGAGCTGTGCGCGCTTCTCAGGCATTGTGGTTTGATGTTCAGCAAGCTCTTTGAGCACATTCTCCAGCCATTCGTTGAATTTGCGTACGTTTTGTACCTGTTCCAGAAAACCGGACCACTGTGTAATCGAGTCATCGAGTGTGGCTTTCACGTCGATAATACGCAATGCAATATTCGACCACAGCTCTTGCAGATCTGCCAACTTTTTGTTGATCGCTTCGTGGCCGGTTGGTGCTGTATTGGCCAGCACGTTCTGCGCCAACTCAACAATGCTGAGTACTTTCGCGGAGCCCTCATCCTTTAGTAGTATGATGTCCTGTATGGTTGCTAATTTCTTATCCAACTCCTTCTGACTCATGGAGGACATATCGGCGCAGTAGTCCAATTTATCTTTGATGCCATTGATCCAGGTGCCGCACTCAGAGACGGCATTGTCGAATTCTTGATGCGAAGTAACATACTGTTGCCAGCGGTTGTTGAGTTCTTTCACTTTATGGAAGATCTGCTGATATTTCGTCGTTAGTTCTGGGCCCGAAGAGCGCATGCTGGACGCGCCTTTAAGCAACGTTTGGCCTTTCTCGGAAACACTGTCAATTTCCAGCTCCTTGGCGCGCATCTCACCCTGCAGATTCTTCAGCGCCTCCAATTGCGCCTTCTTGTCATTTAGCGTGGGCTTCAAGTCAATGGCGTGCAGCTTGTTGTCAGATTCGCGTATCCAAGCCAAGCACTGATCGCGTAGCTGCTCATATTCCGCCCATTGTTGCAGCCTATTCTCGATAGCTTCAATTGTCGACGTGATGGCGGCGATAAGGCCTTCCCACTCTTGTTGGGTAGTGTCGATTTGTGACTTGATATTCGTCTGTCCACTTTCGACTGTTCCTGGTATGACCTTCTCACCCAAGGCCCGCACTTGATCCACACGCGGGAACTCATCAGCCAAGCTGTCCTTCAGATTCTTCAAGCGGTCCAAGTTTGTATGCAACGACACCTGTTCCAAATCCAAATCGCCCCAGTAATCAATGGTGTTGTGCGTGGCCTCGATGTACTCTTGTGCCTCCATCACGGCCTTAGTGTACTGCTGGTGATCGCTCACAATAGCCTCGTAGCGCTCGACGAAGTTCTGCGCGCGCTTGTGCAATTTGCCGAATTGCTCAGCAATCTCTTTAGTTATTTGATCGACATGATCGTTCTTCTCTGGCAAGTTGCTAGCAATTTCTTGCAGATTCTTCACCTCAACTTGGTGATTATTGAGGTCGTTGAGCACATCGCGGTAGGATTGCAGTTTTGCACGTTTCTCATCCAAAGTGGTTTTCAATTCGATCTCAGCTGGCAGCGTCTTCTCGACTTCAGCCAACCAAGTCTGCAATTTCTCGGCAATTTCGTCGAAACCAGACCATTTGGACATTTTGTCTTGTATCTTTCTGGAGGTGATTGTCACATTGTCGTAAAGCTTGTCGAAGGCCTCTTGCAATTCGGACAGCTGCACGCGTATGGCTTCACGTCCTTCTGTGGCCGTGGACGCATAGCACTTCTCACCCGCTTCGATGGTGCTGTTCAATATCAGTAAAGCATTGGGCTGCTGTGCCAATAACTCTTGGATTGCAGTTTGCTTTTTAAGTAAATCATCGCGCGAACCCACTTGCGAGAGATCGCTGGAGTCGTCATACTTTGCTTGCGCATTTGCCAAGAAATTAGCGCATTGCTTGTACTTCTCATTGAATTGTTGATGTTCGTACACAGATTGTTCGCATTTCTTGAGTATCTCCTTAGTGGTCGCTTGTATCGACTGGAAGCGTGAAGTAACTTGTTGTACATTAACGGCGATTCTGGTCTCACCCGAACTTTGAATCAGCTCCGATGAGTCGTCTTTCATTTTTTCAAACTCGATTTCGTTTTGACGCAAATTCTGCATCAACGATTGGAAACGATTCAACTGCTCTTCCTTCTCCTCCATTGTCGACTTGGGATTGTAATTCTTGAGCGCATTCTCAGCTTCGCTCAGCCAGTTGATCAGCCGATCCAAGTTGAGTTCGTAGTCACTCCATTGTTGCAGGCGATTCTCCAAGCCACTCTTCACATCGCTTAGCGCAGCGCTAAACTTATCGAAGTCGGCGTGCAAGTTGGCTAAGTCACGCGACATTGCCTCCTTCGAGCGCGCTGGCAGCAACTTGGCTTTCTCGTCAATGTGCGCGGAGAGGTTTCGCAGTTTAGAAACGCCCTCGGGTAAGGCATCTTGTATTTCGGATATTTTATTTAGGCGCGCTTGTAAGGCTGGCTTGTTGCCGGAGTAATCTGAGTAGCCGGTCAGCCGGTCCCACAGATTCTTTTGATAATCTTGTTGCGCTTTTTGCAATTCGCTGAACTGCTGATACACTTCGAATGCCTCTTCGAGTTGGCCAAGCAGTGTGGCGCAATCGACAGCAACTTTTTCATACCGTTTGTTAACATCAGCAATGGCGCCCTTGATTCCATCGACATTTGTGGGCGCACTGCCATCCAAGAGTGCAGCAGCCTTTTCATTCACAGCCTCAATGATGCGTTTGTGCGAATTGATATCCTGCGTAGTGGCTTTGTACTTGTACAATTTCGAGCGTATTTCCTGCGCGCTGGTCCAAGTGCTGGGATTTTCATTTTGTAACACTTTTTCTACCTGGTCCAACCAGTTGAGCGTCTGTCCGAGTATGTCCTGATAACTCGATAGTTGCACACTTTGTGCTTCTTGTCGCTTCTGCAGATTGCGTATGCCTTCGTCTAATTTATCCCAGCGTTCGTGTATGTCACGCAAGTCTTTGCGTATCTTCTCGCGTCCCTCAGTGGAGGTTTCAGGCAACGCCTTTTCACCGGCTGCATTCAGCGCACTAAAGAGCGCTTCAGCTTGTTCGCGCTCAGAGAGTAGAACTTGCAAGATGTTTGCAGCTTGAGAGGGTTCATTCTTCAAAGCGTTGTCCAATTGTTGCTCAATCGGCTGCAACCACAAATCAACTTCGTTGTACTTGTCTTGATAGATCTGATGATCGTCCACCAAGTTCGACCAGCGATTGACGACCTCTTTGCTCAGCACTTGCAGTAGCTGGTAGCGGTTGGTGATCTGTGTAGTGAGCGTCTTGAGACGTTCCGCGCCACAGTTGTTCAATAGAGCATGCGCCGCATCAGCGAATGCGTCAATCTCTTTCTCCTTCTGCAAGATGAGATCGCGTTGGATTTTGTATTTCTCCAACTGTTCCACCTTCTCGTGCAATGTGGACTTCAGTTGCTGTTCGCGGAAGACGCCTTCCGCCTGTCGACACCACTTAGTGAGCTCTTCAAGTTTGCGCTCGAAGTCATTCCATTGTTGTAGTACATCCTTTTGCTTACCTTCGATGCCTTCGATATCATCGAAGTGACTTTTGACTGTAGTTTCCAGCTCATCGATCTCTTTTTCAAGTATCTCGTTACCTCTTTCCGAAGTGGTCGCTTTCACCTTCTCGTACTGTTCACGTATTTCCGCGATTAACTTTTGCGCGTGCGGTTTACTTTGAGCCAGCTGCACCAGTGTCTCTATCTTGCGTTTGATGTCAGCCTTTTCGCCATAAGCGTCATCGCATTCCAACAATTTCTCCTTTTCGCCAGAGATCCAAGTCTTTGCGGCTGCAATTTGGTTGTTTAGGTCTGTATGGTCCACCACACACTTGTCTAAATTGTTTAGTATCTCTTCAGATTTCTGCACAATGCTGTTGAACAGCTGCTTGATGGACTGCAGATAGACATTCAGCGTATTGTCCTTGATCTGGTCGATCAGCACCTGCGCCTTGTCGCAGACGTTGTCCACCAAAACGTTGTGTGTCGTGATTTCCTGATGGAGCAACTTGTGATTCTGCAATTGTGCGCGCTTCTCTTGCAGCGTAGTCTTCGGTTCCGTGTGACTCTGCATCGCCTTGTCAACATCTTTCAGCCACTTGGTCAACTGATCCTTGGCGATATTGAAATCGTTGAACTGTTGCAGACAGTGATCGATCTTTTGCGTAGCCGCATTCAGATCATCGGAGTAGTTGTCCCACATGGTGCGCAGCGTGCGCAACTGTTGGCGTATGATCTCACGTCCGTCGGGACTGGTGTGTCCGTAGAGCTTCTCACCGCGGTCGATCAAACTCTCAAAGGCTGTTGAGTCGTTGATACGTTTATCAGCCATTTCGCGCAGTTTGTTTTGATGTTCTTGCAAAATGTTCTGATCGCCAACAATTTCGGCGTTTTGCGCCAGATTTTCAATGCATTCCTGTAGATCCTTCTTGAACACTTCATAGTCGGCATCGAAGGTTTCATGGTCTTTGGCGTAGTTGGCGTACTTCGCAATGGACTCCTTGCAGAGGTTTTTCAAAGTCTGATAGCGTGTGTTGATGCGCGACAATTTCAGGTTCAAATCGGTTTCACCCTCGATCTCACGACCCTGGTCGAGTAGATCGTTGATGGACAAAGCGCGTTGATCGATATCCTTGGCAATCTTTTGCAGCTGTGCCAAATGCGCTTTCTTTGTGCCAGCCGTGCTCTTTAGACTCTGATTCTTTACAACGTTCTCAACATCTTTCATCCAGTTGTCAATCTCGTCGATAATAGATTCAAACTCATCCCATTTCGAGCAAAGCTGCTTCAGTTTGACGAGCGAATCTTGACACAGCGTCATAAATTCATCCCATGACTTCTTTGGTTCTTCAAAGCTACGCAACAAAGCTGGATGTCCGCTTGGATGTGTTTGTGTGAGCACAGTTTGTAGTAGCTGCTGACATGTGTCGAATATCGAGTCGCCTTCGGGTTTGTGCTGCAGCAGATTCTCAACCACAGTCAACTTTTCTTCAGCGCCTTCCTTCTCAAATGTGGTCTCATTCAAAATGTCTATAGCCTCTGACTTGATGGTGTTCAGCCAATCTTGTGCCTTCTCCAGCACCTGATCGTATGCCTCATGCTTGACCACTTGGTCACCTACAACATTGATGCGTTCGGCGATTTTCTTGGACAAGCCATTGTATTCTTCAATCGACTCTTCGGTCTTACGCTCAGATTCGTCGTCGCAAAGCGTCACAGCTTTGTCGTGTAGCTGCTTCAGCGCATTTTTATGCAATGTAATCTCTTGCAGCTGTGTCTTGTAGTTCTGCAAGGCGCTCTTCTTGGCAGCCAGCGTGGGGTAGAGTTCATCGGCTGCGGCCACTTTGGCCTTAGAATCGTTGAGGTAGTGCGACACTTGCGTATAACTCTCCTCGATGGATGTCTTCTGTATCAAGACTGCCTCAATCTGTTGTAAGAGCGCGTTGGCTTCGTCGCGCAAGTAGTCGTAGTTTTCGCGTATGCCACGTAGCTCGGCGCGTATCTTCTCACGATACTCAGGCGTCACAACGGGATATAGCGCTTCACCAATATCAACGGCATTATTCAGCAGTAGCTGGCCATTGTCGAACGTCTTCAGGTAGTTCTTAACAGTTTGCAATTGCTGCGCGGTGGCCGAGGACGAACCGGGCGAACCCATGCGCGCCAACTCTTGGAACTCAATCTTGGCATCGGACAGCCAGTCGTTGAAATCTTTTGCGGCTGTCACGAAGTCGCTATTGGCGCGTTGTGCATTATGCACCTTATCGATGTAGCTGTCTAAACTCTTCGCCACAGTTTGGTAGCGCTGCAGCAGATGTGTCACAAACTGTCCAATGCGTGCTTCAGGGTTCTTTGCCATCAGCGACTGTGATGTCTTCTCTAAGTTCTGCATTATCGGTTCATGCGCTTTTATGTCTTGTTGCAATAGCGCAAGCTCCTGCAATTTGTTTGCGATGTCTGGTACACTAACTTGATTGCTCGTTTCGGCTTTGATGCGCCCTTCAATGTCGCGCAGCCACGAGGAGAGCTCCTCATTCGCTTGCTCATATTGTGACCATAAGTCTACATTTTCATCCAGCACATTCTTGATTTTGTCGAAATTGTCTTGAAGCGCCTTCATTTCACCATTCAACAGCTCTGCATCCTTTTGCAAATCCTTGAGGTTTTGTGGTGATTCGACGGCTTGCAGCAACGCTAAGGATTTGCCAATTTCCGCATTACGCTTGTGGCAATCGTCAATTGCCTTGCTGACCTCCAGCAGTGAAGAACGCTTAACGTCCAGATTGTATTTGTCACTTGTCGACTCAGGCTGGCACCAAGCCACCTTCTCGCGCTGCGTGGCGATTATGCGCTTCAGCATGCCCACCTTGTCGGCATGGAATTTCTTGAGGAATTGAAGCAGTGAGGACTCGATCTTTTTTGCATGTGTATCGACAGCCTCAAATCGTTTCTGCACATTGTTCAATTCCTTGGGTATGATTGATTCGCTGAATGTTGGATACTGCGCACGCATCTCGTCGATGCGTTGCTTGATATTGTCAATCTCGTTTGCGCTGTTGTCCAGTTCGGCGCGCAGCTCGCGGCATGTCAGCAGTCGCTCCATGATTTTGCTCGGCTCGCCGGACATGTCATCGCATTTGATGAGCTGCTCACGCAGCTTATTCACTTGCTCACCGGCGTTCTTGATCTTTTTGCGCAAGTCTTGCTCCTGCTCATTGAAGGTGGAAGTGACTGCTTCCAGACGCGCAGCATTCGAATCTACCTCCTGGAATTGTGCCGTCAGCAGTTTGTTCAGCTCAGTAAGTGCTGGAATTTCAACACCATTATTGACGTTCACAAGCTCGCGACTCTTCTCCGCGATGGTATTTTTCAATACCTGATAAGAGGGCAGTTCGGCGCGGAACTTTGTCAAACGCATAGGACCGAACTCAATTTCTATTGAATTATCGGCAGCATCACAGAGACCTTGATTTGTCTCAGTCAACCAGGGTAGTAGCTCCTTCTTAGCGTCTTCGATTTGCGACCAGATGACAGCCTCTGTTTCATACATATGTGCATTCTTTGCCGTCTTGTCGTGCAAATCTTGCCATTGCTGCTTGGCTGCCTTCACATCGTTAGCAATTTCTTGTGGCACAACTTCACCGATGGCATCAAATAACTTCGCCACATTATTGCCGCGACGTTCGAGGTCGTCCAGATTCGTCTTGGACTTGCGTATTTGCTCCATTGTCTTGCGTGTCTTTTCCGCGGCTTGTTGCAACTCGACTTCATCGCGTGGTTGCTGTGGTATGGCATTGAAAAGATCTTCAGCCTTCTTGAGTTCCTTCGCAAACTTATCCTTGGTGTCGGCGTACTCGCGCAGCGCCTGGCTGATCAAATTATACTTCTGTATGCGCTCAGCAATCTCGTTTTGCAGCGTGTCATAGTCTTTGTCGAAGAACAAAAGACTTTCTTGTATGGCCGGCATACTGCCGATATCTTCACGCATCAGTAAGGAACCCTCATCATGCAAACGATCCTTCAGTTCGGCTTGTCCCTTGATAACTTCGTTGAGTGCCACCAAGTCGGCTATAATTTGATCAATATTATGCAAACCGGGCTTCTGTTGCAGTATGCTATGCAGTTTGGCGCGATTATCGATCAGCGCCTGACCGAAGTTTTGGCCAAGCGTTTGGAATTTCTCTTTTCGTACATTCATCTGTTCGGCCTGTTGTTTTTGTGCCTGCGAACGTAACCTCAAATTGTCCAACTTGTTTTCAACATCATTGACAATCTGTGTAGCAATCAGCGGCTTGCGCGACAAAGCGTCACGCAGTTGTATGGCTGGGTTTTCATCGATCTCCTTGGCTTGCGCTTTCCAGTAGCTCACCGAGCTGCCTATCGTGTCGATCTCGTTGATGATCTTGTTAAGCTCCACGGGCTTCGGGCCTTCGGGCTTCTCCAGCTGGTGTTTCAAGTAATTCAAATGACTTTCGGTCTCATTTTTCCAGCCCAATATCTCTGTCCACTTCTCGAGCGCATTCTTCTTTTGTTGCAAATTGGTTTCAAGATTCTGATAGTTAATAACCAGCGAAGTGTAGGCGTCATTTAGCGTCTTTGCCTCCTCGGCTGGTGCGGAAAGCGAGAGTTGTTTAACTTCATCGTAAATTGCATTGAAGCTGGGCTTCTTGTCGGCATGTTCTTGCATCAAGGCATGTATGACGTGCAAGCTAGTCTCCACACGTTCTGGATTAATCTCTTCGACTTGCGCCACTTGGTTGCGCAGCTGATCCATCCAATTGGAGAAGTTCACCATTTTGGCATTGAAATCTTGGCGCGCTATAATTGCATCGGACACTTCGTTGATGTTGGCGCGTGTCGCCTCGGACAACTTCTGCAGCTTAGCTTTCATGCCGTTTACGCGTTCTTTAAGCGCAACAGCGCCCTCTGGCGCCAAATGCAAGCTTATCTGATCGGCCGACTGGCCGAGTGCGACGAGCTTTGCTTGCTGCTCGGAAATTTCATTGTTGAATGACTTGAGTTTGACAAGCTCCTTTTCGAGCTTATCGACATGCGGGGTGTTCAGCACAGCCGGGCGTTTTCCCAGCGCCTGCTCGCCTTTGTTGACCCAATCTTCGAGTTTCGATGCGTCGGCATCGAACGATTTCCAATTGGCTACCAGTTTTTCCAGCTTACCACTGGCTTGCTTGGCATTTTCATGAACCGATGTCCAGCGGGAATGCATGGCATCTAATTCGTCAGGGGCATTGGTTTTGCACAGCATTTTATGACTAATGTTTGAAATGCCTTGGAGCCTGTCTAACTGCTCGAGGCATTGTGTTTCGAATTGTTTGGCGTTTTGTTGCAATGCAACGGCTTCTTCAAGTGTAAGGGGCTTAGGAACTATGGTATTTACCTTGATTTCACACTCCTCAACTATCGGTTTGATTTGCTGCAAACCAGTTTGGTACTGTTGCCAGTTCACCAGATCCTCCTTCACAGCCTTTGCTTGATGATCGACATTGCGATTGATTGCGCTCAGCACTTCTTGCAGCTTGGTGATTTCGCCCTTCAGTCGTTTAGCCTCGGCTATGTTGCCCTCCTTGGGTGCCAGCTCGGCTGCGTCCGACGCCAATATGTCTAGCTGTTTCATGCGTTCACCAAGAACACCCTTGAAAGCGTTCACCTTCACTACACGCTCTTCTGGTGTCAGATCTTCGGACTGCAAAGCCTCAATACTCTTAGGCGCCACACGGTTAGCCCATTCTTGCAATTCAGATAGGCGCGATTTGTAGTTGTTCCACTTGGCGCTGTAGTCCTCCAAATAACCGACACGATCCTTCACATGTTCCATGGTATTGAAGAACATCTTCTCGACCTCAGTTACCTCCTTCTCCAATATGGGACGCTTATCGGCAGCGGCCAATGGTGCCAGCTCAGCCTTCAGATGATGCAATTTGGGTAGCAATTGATGTGAGGCTTGCTGCAGTTGTACATTCAGCTCACGTTTGGCTTGCAAATCTTGACTCACATTTTTCGGATCGGTTTGAAGTGGTGTCAGCGCACGCAATTCGGTCTCTGCTGTCTGCAACATGGAGAAGATGTCGTTCTTCTGATCGACAAAGTCATTCCACACAGCCTGGGTGCCCTTGAGCGACTGCAGCTTGTCGGCGGTTTCGGTATATGCCTCATTCCAGCCGCTTTCCAAATTCTTCACCTCGACATTGACGAACGACGGCGCGTGCACATCCTTGCTCAAGTCACGTCCACGCTGCAACATCGACATTATGTGTGGACGTTGATGGTCAAGCTGACTAATGGCGTATTGTTGCTCTTCAATTAATTTGTTGACGCGTTCAAGGCTCTCTGGTGGTGGTATATTGGTGGCTTGCTCCTTAACTTTGCTAAGCAGACAGACAACCTCGTGCACCTCGCGGCGATACGTGTAGCACTTGGAGAACACCTCCGTCTTCACCATTGTTATCTCGATGGTTGGTATGAGGTTCTTGTAGCGAGCAATTAGGTCTTCGAGTTTCTTCTGTTCGAGATTTGCCTCATCTTCGCTGGCGTAGCTAAGTAAGGAGTCTAGCGTTTTCACCAGCCATTTCATGTCCTCCCTTTTGTTATCTGCTTCCTGGCAGATTTTCTGAAAATAGTTTAAAGAAAGGTATGGAAATTTTATAAATGACAAACCAATGAAAATTTTAGGTCAATTTAAGGGAGTATAATTTTACCACAAGTTCCCTGAGCTGCGTTAATGGAATTGTAATGAAAATTGTATAAGTATCATGATTGCCACACTGCTTGAGGTATTGGATTAGAAAATATCGTTGTGTGGACATTGAAGCAATTAGAATCTTTTCAGTAGCCGAAATTCCAAAAAAAAAAAAAAACGAAATGAGTGCACCTGAGCCGCGCCACGTAAGTACAACTTTTTTTGATCTACCGAACTTCACATAAGACTACGTTGAGTGATTTCAAAATGATCAAATCACAAAACAAGAAATAAAATTTATTTGTGATTTGTTTTATTGACTTGAGATGAGGTGAATTGATGCGATTTGGAGTGAGTTTAGTTAGTAGAGATGAGTAGAGGTGAGATGAGCAGCATAATATGTTACCAGCGGAAAGTCTACCGCGAAAAAAAAAAAAAAAAATAATTTATTTAATTTCCTTTTGGGCCAATTTGGCTTCTTTTTATAATAAATACTGGTTATTTAAGCAAAAACATTTTTGCGAAATATTTTATACAAATAGTGCTGTCGAATTCGCACATTTTTTCAATTTTATAACCCAAGTCAAAATCCACATCTGGTTTTTGTAACGTCACGCCAGCGCATACGTTTACTAATATCTTTGACTCTCTGCTAGCAATAGTTGTAGTTTTTTAACTGAATAAATGAACATTAATTATTATTTAAATATATCTAGAAAAACCTTTTTAAAATTTTGACTTTAGCATACAAATGTCACGTAACGCCAGTTTGAAAATGCCCATAAAGTAATATCCATTTTTTCTTAACCTTTCAATCTACGTTTTTATCTCTATCCCTCTCTCTAACTTTATATTTATCTCTACCTTTGACTCCATCTTTATCCTCTTTTCTTTTTTTATCTTTAACTTTTTTATCTTACATTCATCCTAATGCTTATGCTTATCCTTCATCTTATTCTCATTCTTATCCCTATCATTGATATCCTTATCCTTATCCTTATCCTTATCCTTATCCTTATCCTTATCCTTATCCTTATCCTTATCCTTATCCTTATCCTTATCCTTATCCTTATCCTTATCCTTATCCTTATCCTTATCCTTATCCTTATCCTTATCCTTATCCTTATCCTTATCCTTATCCTTATCCTTATCCTTATCCTTATCCTTATCCTTATCCTTATCCTTATCCTTACCCTTATCCTTATACTTATCCTTATCCTTATCCTTATCCTTATCGCCGAAAGCCATTGTTTATCACATAACTTGAAAAAAGCGGAAAACTCCATCTTTTTAGCACAAATTATTAAATTTGTAATTTTTAGTGCCATGTTAAATTAAAATACATCTTTGGTTTTTATCTGGCACGTCGAGATTTTTTTATTGGTGGCATGTATATTTTAGGATCTTTAGCAATTTGCATGAATAATTTTTTTTAAATATCGCTCTCTTTTTCAATAAAAAAGTATCAACTGATTTTTTTGATACAACTAATATTTATCGAGCTATGATATGATAAACAATGGCGTTCACCGAGACACCTTATATTTTGGATGTTGTATAACTTTTCAAATTTTATTTTTTTTTACATTCCCCGCGTTTTGCCATACCTTAGAGGTATTTCTACATTGTACTCAGTTTATATCAAAATCGAAAAATATAATAACAATTTTCGTTGAAATAGCTGGGAATGCCTCATATCCGAAATATTAATAACGCCACCAAGAACTATGCTGGTACTCGTATGTATATACTTTTCAACTGTCTTTAGAACGGCTATGGCTAACAGTTTTCGTGGGTTTTTCACTTCCAGTAACACCCATTTCACCGCCTTTAGTAAACTTTGACGATAACCCGCGAAAAAATACTCAAAAAATCTTTGACCACTCCCTAGCTTCAATATCCACACAGATTTTGTAATTAAGTCATAGAATTGTACTCACCTGGAAGACCACCTTTTCCTTCTCGAACTCCTCCATGCTGTTCACTTCATTCACAATATTCTTCAAACTCTTATCGACAATATTCATCCACTCGACCATCTCCTTGAACTTCTCATGATAGCTGTCCCACTGTGCCGGTATTTGCTGCAGAGTTTCGCGCATATCACCAATTTTGCCCGACAATTGCTGCCACTGCAGCTTAGCGTTGTCATACGACTGACCGAGGCTGATGTCAGTCGGCTTTTGATAACCATATGCTTGACTAATGCGATGCATATTCTGCAAGCTCTTCTCAATTTGCGGTATTGGTCCCTGCTGTCGGAAGAATTGCTCATTGCGATTGAGTATGGAGTCGATATCTTCGTTGCGATTCAAAGCTTGTTGTTCCAAATGCAATTCCTTTTCGACTTCTTGCAGCGTCTGATAGAAGGCCGATTCGTCAAGACGGAATTCGAGCTTCAACAAATGCAGTGGCGCTTGCGCTAAGACGTTCTGCCACTTCGCTTGCAGCTGCTCCACCGTATCCACTACAGGCTTTTGCTCTTGCGCCGGCAGCGTTTTCAGCAAGTCCTGCGCCGACTCCACCAGATTGTGCATCCAGCGCTCGTTGACGTTTTCGAAGAAGTACTTTTGTGTCTCGATTACGGTCTTCGATTCTATGTGTTTTTCGATTAGCATAGATTCGGCTTGCGTTAGCCATTCGCTGACGACGCGTTCATTCTCCTTGAAGGTGTGCCAACCGCGTGAGGCATTATTCAAGCGCTGCTCCCACTGCTCAGCATTCTGTATGACATAGTTAAAGCGCTCGTTCAGCTGTTGCATGTTGTGCGCCGTTTGCGAGGTGTCGATATTGTCATCGGCGGCGACCGACTTCAGCAGATTCTGGAAAACCTTATTTTTGCTCTCCAACATCGAACGATAGTAGACGGTGCGTGAGAAGAAAGTCTTGTGTTTGTTCAACTCCTCACTTATGGCATCGCGTCCACCGGAGAGTGCATGCGTGCTCAGCAGCGCCTCTGCATCGTTCAGCCATTGATGTATCTCTTTTTGGCCCGCCTCGAGCGACTCCTGCTGTATGAGCAGCTGGTGGAAGAGATGCAATTTGGCTGGTATTTGCGCGCGTATGCGCACCAACGACTCCTTCTCCTGCTTGAGTAATTTCATCATTTTGTCGACCTCATCGCGCGGTAAGTCCTGAATGAGGCCCTGGAAACTGCGGCTGACCGTCTTGAAGAGCTCCTCGTTGTCATCAATTTCGCTAGCCAGCTTTTGCAACTCCTCGCCATATTTGGTAATCTGTTGAGTGTTGCCGAGCATTTGGCGCTGTTCGAGCAACTGCTCGGCATGACGCAGCCATTGTGAGAGCTTCTCAATGCCGGATTTGTATTCGTTGCGTGCGCGTATGATGTCACCCGCATGCATGTATTGCTTGGTATTGGCAAAGAGGCGCTCGAAGCGCTCCGATAAATTGCCATGCTTCTGGCGCAGGTTGTGTGCGATGCCATCCTCGCACGAAGCGATCAAATAATTGGCTGCATTGGCGAGTGCATCGAATTTATCCTTCCATGTGGTTATGTCTTGGAAGAACTCCAAGCGTTCATCTTCGGTACGCGATAGTTTAGTTTCGGCCAAATTGAGCCACTCTTCACAAGTGGGCGCCAACTGGTTCCAGGTCTTCCAACAGCTCACAACCTCTTCCAGTGAGTTCTGGCAGCACTTAAGCTCCATAGAGACACGCTTCCAACGCTCCTCGGTCTCGTACATGAAGCGATCGATTTCCGTTATGTCTTTGCGCGGCACATTGCCCTCACGCTTGTATTCGTCCACCACTTGTTGCATGACGACGAATGCCTTCTGGAACTCTTGGAAAATTTTGTTGCGCGATACGAAATTCTTGTATTGCTCCAATTGCTGGCTGGCCTTCTCTTCATAGCCATACTTGCCAGTCCAACCCTTCATTTTGTTCTCAACCAAATTGAGGAAAGCAATGAGACAGCACTTATGTTCCAGGAACTTTAAACGTATTCTACGTTCGGCTGCCTTGGGCGCCACCTCTTGCAGGCGGCGTTCGATGTTGCGCAACTGCTCAAGCGGCACTTGTTGCACCAATGGCGAACGCTTGGCATTCTCAAACATTGCCATTATACGTGGCAAATCGGCAAAGAATAATTTATGCTCCTCCAGCTTTCTACTTATCACCGATGCTGTCTCCTCATTCATGGCACTTGGTATCTCATTGTCCATTAGTAATTTTTCAGCGTCCGCTAGCCACTTGCCGACCACACCGAATTCGCCTGGCAACTCTGAATCCAACAACCACAGCCAATAGTTCATTTGATATTGCAAACGCTGCCACAATGCATTTATGTCCTCCCACACCGGGCGTGGCACTTGTAGGAAGCCGCTCTGACTCTCCATCAATTGCTTGAGGCGATTGTAGACCGGCAAGTGGGCGTCAATCTCCGAACGTGCGATCAGATATTCAGCGAAATCACGCGGGAATGAATTCGACATGACCATGGGCTCATATTCTGTGGTCTTTTCTATCAGGAAACGGCGTAGTTCATCCAATTCCTGTTGTATGTGTGATGTATCACGTGAGGCACCCTACAATAATTGAAATCGAGAGAGAGAGAAAGAGAGAGCGCGTGTTAGAGTAATTACAAGTGGAGAGACTCAGAGTATTTGTATGCAAATTACTACTCTACTACTCACTTTTGGTTCAGGGTACTTGTGCAAAAATTGCGCCACATATGTCATTATACTCTTCTCATCCGGTTTTGGTACATCCACATCCTCAGCATCCAACAATTTGGCAATGCCCAGCTTACTTTCAGCCACATCGAAAGCAGTTTCTAGACGTTGACGATTGTTGGCCTTTTTCAAGTCAGCCAAATTAACCAAATTTGCTTTGATTGCATCGATAAGGGCTAGGAAGGCGACACCATCTCTCCAACTGGCGCCGAAATCCTTTACTTCAATGCCGATGTCTCTGTGGAGGGTACAAAAAGATGGTAAATGTAAATGAGATAATTTGCGAAAGTGTTTGTATATAAAACTTACTTTGGCAAGGCATTGGTAACCCAATTCAGCAGTGTCTTCCTAGCACCTTGCTTCCATTTCTCAGCCTTTTGATCGCTGACAGTCTTGCCAACGCTGTCGAGAGAACTAACCGAACCGCTAATACCATGACCCAAATATTCAAGGTTGCGGCTATTCTCCTCAATCTGATAAGGGGCGATAAAAAGATAATAATATATTAAGTAGACGAACTTGCATAAAGATTTCAGAAAAAATTTTAATATAATATGTAAGTATAAATGAAATATTAAAGATAAATTAATTAAACCAACTCAGTTTAACATAGAAATTCAAAAATAATATAAAGAAAATACTAAAATGTAGTTTCAAAATCCTTCCTATGCATGTAAAAATGTTTACGTATTTAAAAGAGATGGATGGAATTCATATTTATGTATAACACAGTGCAACAGCATTCTTGGAGCGGAATGTGTCCAAAAGACATAGACCTGTGTAGTAAAACCTTCAAATCTTTTCGCATTCTCGAGTAAAAGTTTTTCTTTATGGCTATATTAAGTTAGCATTTTTTGGCCAGATTATTTTTAGAAAAAAAGGGTTAAAACTTATATTGGCGCGAAATATGTAGTTGCGGTACGTATAGTAAAATTTCACGAGGAATACTTTTCTAGAACATTTTAGCCCATTAGCTCTCTCACGAAAGGCTCGTTTTGACCTCTGTTTTGGAGGTTTGTTTTGGTCGTTATCGTTTTGGCACAAACACCTCTAGTGCAGACTTTTCCCCAAAGTACTAGCACACCACCGACAATCAGCTGCTCTGCTACTCAGGCTGAGCTTTACCTAATACAACTAGTTTTCGGTAGAGTTCACTACTATCGGTTGGAGTGAAGGAAATTAGGGCAGAACGAAGGGAAAAGAAAATAAAACTTTGTGGCGACCAGTACCCGATCAGGGTTGTTATCAAATAAAGACAAAACCTAAGTGAAACTTCTAGAAATCCATATTATCGCACGTATACTACCACGGTAAGCATAGCTAATTCGGTATTGGATTTAAGGAGGCGCAGAGACTGCGTTATTTAGTACTGTCGATAAAGCAGGCAAACATTACTAGGTTCCGCCATAAAAGAATAGATCAGACTTCAATACAGTGACCGGTTTGAAAAACGAAAAACCAAATCCAAGATATTATGATAGACGTAAGGCACTTTTCGTTGTTTTAGATGTACATACCTACGTACCTTTCGAGCACTGAACATTCGACTCTTGTTGCAGCCAAGATACGCACTCGTCTTTGCACGAGACCACCGTTTCCCTGGGGAATTGTAGTAGGTTAAACTCCAACTTACCCAACTATGAAGGTCCCAACATTCTAATCGAATATCCTCCATGTGAAGGTTTACATGGAACTAATCACCTCTTCACTTGCACCCCATAAACCACCCACTCAGTTTAAACCGTTCTCTCTTTGATACGACCACATCCAAACAAGAATCGAAACAAAAGGTTTCTTGGGTCTGCCGTTAGTTGAACTTGATTTTAAAACCATTAAATGATTAGTGGATATAGGTAGGGTTAAGTAGCCATTAAAATAACAAAAATATCCAGCAGCCCTCGCAGTATGCAAGATTCTGTTAAACTCCGACTGCCATACATTGCGACCGCGAATGCTTTCTAGACAAGGAACGCCACCCTGCTGTCAGAGTGTAGTATGTAGATTTGCTGGTCGGTCGCCCAGCTTTCTGCATACTATCTCAGGCATGGTTCAATTGCATGAACCACAGCTTGAAAGGCAAAGAGGAACAATTTACATGAAACGACGAAATTAGCTCAGTGAGTAGAAGACTGGATTTGTACGCTTGAGTGCAAGTCTGATGAAGAGATGTGGCGATCTCCAAATTAGCAGCCTATTGTTGTTTTTCTTTCATAAGAAAGACCTCAAGCTCAAGAGACATTAGTAAAATTTATCGTGCAATTTTTTCGTAAAGCATTTTAATCCCATAATTCCTAGCATAATTGGTCTTTTTGACACATAAATAAGTATCATAAAAAATGTTCAATGTAAAATCACTAAAAACGGCAGTTAGATGATTAAAATATTCTGCGAAAATCTTAAAAAAATATGCTTAAATATGTTCGAACATGTAAGAACTTAAATAATGAGGCGTATTGTGGTTTTCGTACGAATCGAAAATTTAAAATTTTTCTATAGACAATGTTAGGAAAATTCCATGATTTTCGATTCGTACGAAAACAAGAATATGCCCCATTATTTTAGAAAAAATAAATTGCGTAGAAAAAATGCACTAAACCTTACGTATAACTATGTGAAATGTGCGCTATATCTGAATTGGTACTATTATAAGTATATGTAACGGGTGATTTTTTTGAGGTTAGGATTTTCATGCATTAGTATTTGACAGATCACGTGGGATTTCAGACATGGTGTCAAAGAGAAAGATGCTCAGTATGCTTTGACATTTCATCATGAATAGACTTACTAACGAGCAACGCTTGCAAATCATTGAATTTTATTACCAAAATCAGTGTTCGGTTCGAAATGTGTTTCGCAAACCCAATTGCTGCGAACGGCGACGAATCGACATTTCACGGTCTTCAGCAACACTCTCAGAAACAGACGCAATATTCTCTTCTGTACGCACTGTACGCATTCGTGTGGTTGGTTCAATATCCAATAAAGTAAACTGAGTGCGAAACTTGGTCACAATCGCATTAATTGTTTGCTCACTTGGTCGATTATGTAGACCATAAATCGGACGTAAAGCGAACCGAACACTGATTTTGGTAATAAAATTCAATGATTTGCAAGCGTTGCTCGTTAGTAAGTCTATTCATGATGAAATGTCAAAGCATACTGAGCATCTTTCTCTTTGACACCATGTCTGAAATCCCACGTGATCTGTCAAATACTAATGCATGAAAATCCTAACCTCAAAAAAATCACCCGTTATTATATATGTATGTATGTACATTAGACCATACGAGAAGAAAAGTTTGCCGTCCATCCCTGAGTCTAAAGTAGATTTGCAATGAAATTTGGAAAAAAGTAAAACAATTTTTTTGCCGAACATAGGGATCCCTTTGTACATAAATTTTTTGTCATCTCTTCGACATTTACAATAGGATCTTAAAGTATTTTATATGGATGTTTATGTCTCGAGAATACAATCTCTTTTTTCCAAAGTTCATTGATCTGAGATCACAGTTCACGTTACCCTAGCGTACCACCCCGATGTCAGTAAATTAAAGTTCTCCAAAAATCATTAAACTTTTGCTAAGGGACTATTTAAAACCAAAAGTGTATTGCAAATTTTATTCGAAATTGTCTTGCAAAAATACCTAAGACTCAGTGATTTACGGTAAACTTTCTTTTGTTTTCTTGTAGGTACATTTGTTTGTGTGTATATGTATGCTTGAATAAAGGCAAAAATTAAAAAAACACCAAAATCGATTAATTTGCGTATTATTACCAATAGATGCATAATTATTTACAACACTCATCAACTACAAACCTACCTGTGGCGCATAATTTATTACTACAACTACTTTTTTCCGTCTCTTCTTATGAAGCTTGTGTTTAGCAAAAAAAATTAATTAAATAGTTCAAAAATCAAAAAGTTTCAAAAAGAGAGACAAAGAGATAAAAAGGAAATACACACAAATGTTTACTTTTTACACTGTTATTACTTTTAATTATACTGTTATTTAGCTTAAAGTGTTAATTTTTATGTAATTGTGAAAGTACATTTAATGTGCAGTAATTTTGCAATATTTAGGGAAGGGATAGGGAGAGCGATAGGGAAAAGTAAAGGGTATTTTTACAGCGTTACTAGCTTTCAAACGGGTTCGTAAAAAGCGACTGAAAAGTACTAAACCGCCCTAAGCCTTAAAATAAAAAACCCAAAATAAACTTTTTCATTTTGTAACGCATTGGAGTACAGGGTTCTATGTATACGATAACCTTGGAGGCTGGTTGATGTCGATTGTATACCGAAGCATCGTAAGGATGACTATACAAGCGTCAGAAGCTCTACAGCCCTATTAGCATGACATCCTTCATGCTAAAATGTCTGGAAAGATTGGTAGAGTTGCGCATTCGTAGGAAGGCGCTCTCATCACATTCTCTCTCTTTGAATTGACATGGAAATCCCAGAATTGCCAGAACTAACAATGCCATCAATAGGAAAGAGTTACGCCTTGGGCATTTTTGTAGACATAGAGGGCATTTTGATAATGCCTCCTTCGACAGCATGTGTAATTCTGCTCTACGGCATGGAGTAGATTCTGTACTGGTAAATTAGATTCGTTCAATGCTACTGCTGCCTTCAGGGTGGTGTACTTTCCCCTTTACACTGGTGCTTGGTAATTGATTCTCTTCTTGTCACTTTTAATGACTCTAATATCTACGCTCAAGCCTATGCGGACGATGTGGCCTGTATAGTTACGGGCCCATCTCTGTCGGCTGTTTGAAGGAAAGCACAGACAATACTGAATATGATTGGTGTAACAGAAATGGGTTCATCGCTAACCTAACCAAAACTAGTGTTGTGCTCTTCCCTCGCAATTAAAGGAGTCGTAATTCAGACTTCTCTCAAAGTGAAGTATCTTGGAGTAATTCTGGATACAGAACTATTGTGGAAGTCTCACGTGAAGACCTGCAAATCATTGGCGATATTTTGGCAATGTAAACATACATTTGGCAAAACGTGAAGTTTATCGCCATAAGGAATCCTCTGAATCTATACATCTATGACCAGACACATCAGCTATGCGTCAGTGGTATAGTGGAGCCGACTCTCCATCAGTACTGTGGAAAATCTTCTTGCTAAACTTCAAGAGATTGATTGTCATGTGCTGCACGGGAGATTTCTCTATAACACCTGGAGCTTCTCTTGACGCACTGCGGCTCTTACCGTCACTTTGTGTTCTCATACGTAGGGAAGCCTTAAAGGCCACCTGTAGACTAAAATGAAACACATAATGGGTGGGACAAGGCTGAAATTGCTGGCGACAGAGATCTGAGCACTTGCGTATTTTCAATGCTGCAGGATAGAACGCCACGATTACCTTTGTTGAAGAGATTCTATAATATTGAGTAGCCTGAGGCTGAATTCTGGTTTAATTCCACACACTGTCGAATCTTTACTGATGGGATGGCTCCAAAACTGACTCTGCACCAGGCTCTCGGATCTTCATCAAAGTTAATGGGGATAAACTTCACTTTTCACTTGGGTAGTATGTTCCGGTCTTCCAGGCTGAGGTATTTGCAATCATCAATGCCGTGGACTACTTGGTGGAAAATTGGTGGATGGGAAGGAGTTTACGTGTCTGCAGTAACAGTTAAGCTGCACTTAAGGCATTGGCCAGTCCTCTAACTACTTCTAAACTAGTTCGGCAATGCAAGTCTCGCCTAAATTATCTTTCTAGATATAACAAGCATGCTTTACTCTGGGTGTCAGGTCACTTGGGAGTACCTGATAAGAAGATATCTGACCCGCTTGACCAGAGTTGGCTCAGACCAGGCATTCCTCGGTCCGCAACCCGTTTTAGCACTCCCATCTTCGGCCATCGAAACCACCATCAGAAACTGGGTGAATACTTCGCTCAGCAATGAGCATCAAGGTGCTGCAGATGGGCAAACCTCATGTTGCCTTCAATTTCGAAAGGTCTACCTAGTTTTTAGCTCTCATTGAGCAGACGGGACTGCTGAGATCGTTAATTGCTTTTTCGGGACCTGGACCATTCTGTTGTCTCAGTTGTTTCTCTTTGAGAGCCATAGTTATTGAGTGGGTACACTCTGAAAGCAGTAAGTACTGGGGAGCGGTGGTGGGTCTTAGACAGGCCAGGCTCTTCGGATACCCTTTTAACAGAAATGAGATTGTTTTAGTATATAAAAATGAAATCAGGCTACTTTCTGAGCACCGGTGTGACCGGTGTGATTCCACTTGCACCAAATAGGTGCGATCACAGAGTCGGAAGCCGGCTGATACTTAAGTGATAAAAGATACAGTGCTGGGAGTGGGTATTAGATTAAAAATGGATTTTTAGGATCTCCTTAAGAAATACTTAAATATGTGTGCTTATGGTGCACTTACAGGGTGCCTTACAAATGTATCCATACTTAAATCAATTTTTTTTCATGTTAGTGTAATTATATTTTTCCTATTTAATTAGATGAAATGCAGTTGTGCTAATGTTTTTTTTTTTTTGTTTGCTTAAAAGACTTCAACTTACCTGGAAGTACAATATGATGGTCCATATCAGACCCAGCACAACTGGTGGTCTCCCATCCACCAAATCTGCCGGATTAATATTCACCAATTTGATACGTTTACTGGCTAAGAATTGTAAGGCTGTATTAGCATTGCTGAGGAAATGCGGACGTCGTAGAACGCGACCCTTCTCCACGGGCAAACGTTCGCCGGATAGCACTTCCAAGAGTGCAATAAGTTTGGTACCATCGCGTAAATCGTTGATTAAATCGTCAACACGAAGCGGTGGAACACGCTACAAAGAAATAGCGAAAAAAAGTAGAAAAAACAAACGATTAATAAATAGGTGAGTAGAGGAACATAACAATTAGCAAATAGCGGCATTTTAATGCAGTTAACAGTAATTATGAAATAAAAAATATATATTTATGCAAAAGTATGCATGTGTTATGCTCATGTATGTAAGTAAGAAGTCGCGACTGTTTAGCAAAAACTTTGCGCTAGACAGCATTTAACGGCATTCTTTCACCAAACTTAGCAAAATAACAATAAAAGAGTTGTCGTGACTTGCTTAAATGAAAAGCATATATCATAAATGCTTACATACTTACGTATGTACATAATTACGAAAAGTGCTGTAAAAGTATGTAACTTACTGAGCAAATTTGCCTAAGCATGCAAATTTGCTGAACGGAAGAGACAAAAGCGGCATTCTTAAGAAATTATGAAAACGCATTGCGAACAGTGCAACAGCAAAAAGTTGCTAAAGTGTTGACAAAGTTGAATCGAAGTTCATGGAAAATATGTTTGTTCTTAGTATAATTGCAGTTTGATTTCAGTTCAACAACTGATAGAAATATCTGTACAATTGACATTCCGCCTCGCTTGAATAACCACAGTTTTTCTTCAAGGACTGAGCTTAACAACGCCATTTTTTGCAATTATCTTTCAACTCACCGAAGTCTTTCGTGAGACTAATTGAAATATCTGCTAAAGTGGAGATCTGGGCTTTACTCTGTTTGTCTTTTAGCAATAAGTTTTTTAAAAATTTAATTTGATAAAAAAAATATGGTTTTCTTTTTACAAAAACAAAAACGAAAAAAAAGATTACAAAATTTTATTAAAAACTGAAAAAATTTAAATACAAAGAAAAAAATAAAGTAGGTTTATAGAAATTAAATGAAATTAAAAAAATATTTTTTAAACAATTAAATCTAACAATTTAAAAAGTTTTTATGAAATGAAGAAAAAAAGTTAAATAAAATTAAAAATGAAATGAAATGAATGAATTGTTTTCTTTTCAAAACAATAACATCTTAAAAAATATTTAAAACAATAAAATCTAATAATCTCAAGAAAATAAATACAAAAAAGAAAAAAATTAAATTAAAAAAATTAAAGTATTAAATTTACAAAAATACATAGAACAAGTTTCTAAAATTAAATGAAATTAAAATACATTTTTTCTTTTAAAGCAATAAAATCTAAAATTACATTAAAAAAGAAAATATAATTTAAAAGAATTCCGCTCCCCGAGGATGCTTAGGCAACTGGCTGAGTCAGTGGGATCGTCGGTTCGAATCCTACTGAAAGAAGTCTGATGAGGAAATGTGGTGATTTCCGAAATAAATAGCTATCACTTCTACCATTTTTTTCAAATTATTGTTGCTTTTCCGCAATAAAAATTTTTCATTTAAAACGGCCTCGAGCTCAATATAAATTGTTGAATATAATTGTTATAAAAGCCAAAAAAATAACAAAAACAAATAATTAAATGTTATTATAAAAATAGTTTCCTTTTTAGGACAATGAAATCTAACATCGACAGGAAAAAAGAAAAAAATGTATTGCAAAATAGGAAAAAAAATAAGTTAAAAAACTACAAGAAAAAGTTTCTAAAACTTAAATTATATTAAAAAAGTTTTATTTTTAATAAAATGTAACCTAAAATTACATAAAAAAATTTGGACAGCGTGCATTTGGAACAAGCTCAAAGTTTCAAAAATTTAGACATTAATTAAAAATGAAAAAAATAAAAAAAAAAACAAAACCGAATTCAATTCCCGTATAAAAATTTAAGATTATCGTTAATCTCTTCAAGATCCAATGGTCGAATTTAAACCAAATTAGAATGGGATTACCTCTGAAGTTACACCTTTCCTTTAAAAAGAATTGGAGTAATCGGTTAACGTGGTCCAAAGTTATGCGGTAACATATGTATGTACATAAAAATAATAATAATAATGAAAAAATATTCCGACGAGTTGATAACCTTCTCCTTTTTATCTTTTTATAAAGGCGGTTAAAAAGAAAATAACTAAATGAAATTAAACATATATATTTTTTTTTATTTTTAATACAATCAAATTTTAAACTTAAAAAAAAATTTAATTTAAAAAAAAAACAAAAAAGTTTCTAATAATTAAAGAATTAAATCGAATAAAGAGAAAAATTTTATTCAAAAAAATTCATTAAATAATTTTCTAAAAATTAAATGAGTTGAAAACTTTGTTTTCTTAAAAAAAAGTAAAATCTGAAATTACATAAAAAAATGTATGTAAAAAAATTCCCCTGCTCGAGGACTCGAACATCGTATCTCTCCGAAGCACGGCATCGCGTTTGAAATTTCGTAGGGCTTGCCACTAGAAAATTCTGGTTTTCTCGGGCGGGGAAGTTTAGGGTGCGGTTCCAATGGAAAACTGTTTGTAATTGACTTGTTTTACCAAGTTTGCGAGCCAACAGAAGTCTGAAGATGGCTGGCATGCTAACTCCCGACCTAGGCTAGCTGCTAAGGAAGTAGGTCAAAGTTCCCTTCATACCCAAGGAAGGATTAATAATTCTCTCTTTGTTTCTCTTAAAGACACTTGTGGAGAAGAGAGATTCACAGGTTTCCTTTGACATTAAATAAGCACACCTACTATAAGGGCAGACTAATAGAATCACCACAGCACACAGTTTTAAAGGTTTTTAAGAAAAACTTTGCGCAGAAGAAATTTGCGGTCGTTGCGAACTGATATCGAAAAAGTAGGCTTTCAGTAATATCCTACCTGAAGCAATTATAAACTCTCTAAGTAAACTAAACTTCGATCACCCCTACTTTGTGTCTGGTGGAGAATTTAGAGAAAGTATTACTAATTGCAATTGATACGGAGTTTGAGACTTCCAGAATTCTAATGAAAATTACCATCTAATGGCCTGTATGCAGTTCTCAAGAAAAGCTAAAATTCCATACAAAATGACGTACAAGAAATGGATAAGAAATTTTCTTAAGTCAAATTTATTTTTATCTCATTCTTATCGTACACTGTGTTTCGTATAGGCCTCCTCAAATATTTCCAATGCAGGAATTTACATTTGGACTAAGCTCGGCTGCTAAGATGAATATGCTTGAGCTTATGCTGATGTCAGGGTATTGTAGTCCTCAAAATAATACATATTTTCCAAATGAGAAAAAGGTTGATAGCAACCGGCAAAATGGATTAATTCTCTAAGCAATCGCCTAAAATTAGATGTAAATTTAATATTTTTCGTCCAACCGCAGAGCACATTGTTGAAGTAATTAGGTAAAGTAGGTCTTACAGAATTATTAATCAGCTTTTGACTAAATTATCGCTCAGCTATGACCAAACTATTATACGTAATTCTTTCATACCGGTACTTCGAAATCTGATACAAAGGCATGGCACGCGTGCCTGTGAAGTGACCAACTGTGAGCTTAACTCATAATATTTTTTTAGTGTAATCTCGACTTCATGCTTTTGAATCCAACTTTCGGACAAACGAAAAAAATTTATGCTACACAAACTTTTATAACACCGGCATTCATTGAAGCTGAGTTGAAGTGCATAAATCATCAGAAAAACAAAAACAGAAAACAAGACTTAACCCGTCTGCGACAAACAACAGCGGGTCGACGCGTTCACCTTGAACTCGCACATAAACAAACTATAAAAAAAATCAAGAAAAGATACAGAGTTTTTTTTTAAGTTTATTGTTTCATGCGTGTGTGAATAAGCGCGAAGCTGTTAAGCAACCCTGCAGGGAAACCGCGGACTATTGAATCAAATTTCTAGTTCCGTACTAGGTCTTTATCGCCAAAAACGAACTAGTCCGATAGGAACTAGATCCCCACCAGTCCAAAATCGGAGAAAAGTGGTACTTTTAAAAAACTAACTTANTCGAAAAAGGGATGCAGCGGGGGGCAATTGACACTTCCTAGGACATCGCCATGTTAAATTCGCCAGTTGCTTGCATGCAAAAGAGATTTATCGCGAACCAGTACTGGGTCTAAATGTACTAGAAGCGCCCCAGTTCAGAACTAGAGATTTTCGCCACAGGGAATGTAAACGCATTTCGGACAGTGTGTGTGTGTGTGCACAAACGAGCTTTGCAGCTAAATTTTAAGCACAGCACATGTTTGTATATAGTTTGTTTAAAATTTTCATCAAAATTGGGTAGGGTAGCTGATGATCAAGCACAAAAAAAAAAGGTTTCGCCATATCAAATTCATCTCCAACTCGAACGTATTGAAATGTACGTATGTATGTGTGCATATAGTAGATCACATTCAGCAGATTGTCTTCTGTCGTCGGTTGTTTGCTGTGCACTACTAAATAAATGGTGCCTTTGAGTTTGTTGAGTGTCAATTAGTGGACAAAATTTGCATTTGAAATTTAAGTAAAGTATGTAAATTTATTTGTTAAACACATTATGTTATTTAGATGCATATATAGTACATATATCTGTGGTCATAAGCAATAACCGCCTAAGTCGAATGTTAGCCTTATGGGGGAACCAAAATATTTTCGTCTATAACTTTTTAAATAGCCTAGCTGGCGTTAAGTTTACTTGTTACCAATCCTGTAGGGTTGGAAATTGTGTCATTTGTCAGAAAATCGATGTTGGCACTACTCTGAACAGCGCGACCGAATTTCTAGTGTAAGAGTACATCTCCAAAACGAGATTTTCCGGCTTTCGTCTATAGCTGAATTGTATAGCTGAAAGCCTAAAAAGTAATTTTTAAGCAAAAAAACAAAACCGACTTCAAATCTCGTATACAAATTTAGGAGTATCGTTAATTTTTTCATGATCCAATGATCGGATCTAAACCAGATTAGTATGGGACCACCTTTAAGACACCACCTTTCCGATTCAAAAGGAATAGGTTGACGTGGTCCAAAGTTATGCGGTAACACACATAAAAAAAAATATTTCGACAAATTGATAACCTCTTCATTCTTTTTTTGAACTCGGTTAAAAAGAGCTGAACGCCTGAGAAGCTTAATGTGTAGTTGT